GGAGCCCGGAGCCCAGACCCCGCGGAGGCGCTGAGCCTCGCGCGCTGCTTGTCACCAGTCGAGGGACAAAAGCCGAACTTCTCGGGCTAGCGGCGTTCTGGAACCGAGGATGTGGATGTGGGATCGCCGTCCAGTGCCGCTACAGTGGCGACGGCAGCGCAGGCAGCAGCTCTTTTCTCCTGTCCTTTCTTCAACCTTTCCCTCAGCTAAGGTCGCTTAGCTAAAGGCTTGTCCCCGTCAGTCCCCGGACGAGTCTCCGGAAAATAACGACGAAGTGAGTCGCTGTGCCAAAGTAACCCATGCGCACGTCTGTCGATAAATGTGCCAGGGTAGATTTTGCTGAACTTGGCTTGCTTATGCTATTTTATCCGTGCAATCCGAAGCCATTTCATACTTTAAAAACAGGACACTGGTAGAATCACACACTTAAAATGCAGACGCACGAGTCAGTACTTGTTCTGAGGTTCTGTCCCAGTGGTTCGTGCACACGCACACTGCAGCAGGCGCGTGTGAACCCGCACCGCACCGTGTGTGTGCAACCCCACGCGAGTACCCGGCACACACACGGGATGTGCAGCCTGCTGACGGGAGAGCTTCGGGGCAGCTGCCCTGCTGGTTTAAGTAACATACTGGGGATGGAATCCGCGGGCACTCTACCACCGAGATAAATCTCCAGCCTTCAAAAAATTATATTGAATCTTGCTAAGTGGCCTATGGCGTTCGCATCAAACTCGGGGTTCTCCTGCTTCGGCCTCTGGTCGCTGGGACTACAGGGGTGCATGCATGTATGTGTACATGTGTGAGCGTGCACGTGCACTATGTGGGTCAGATTCAGGGCTTCATACTTGTTAAGCTCCTGTGCTACCCCTGAGTTACACTTACAGTCTGTCAACACTCTTAAGAGTTTAATTTAAAAATCATTTTTAGGCGGGCGTGGTGGCACCGGCCTGTAATCCCAGCACTCAGGAGGCTGAGGCAGGTGTACTGCTGCGTTCGAGGCCAACTTGGGCTACACAGTGAGTTCAAGATCAGACTGAAGTGCATAGAGAGACCCTGTCTCAAAAACAACAACAAAAATTTTTTCTTTCATTTTAAAAAATCTGTTTTAGTGGTAAAATGGCTCTATAAATCTATATTTTATCAAGCGTATAAAGACAACTATGGGGTCAGGAATTTAGCTAAGTGGTTCCGCTGCCTGCCTTGCAAGCTCAAGGACCAGAGTTCGATCCCCAGTACCAAAAGAAAGAAAGACAGACAGACAACTATGAAATGACTTTTATAAAGGGAATCCCCGGCTGAATTTAAGCATCTGCCCACTTAGGTTCTGAACTCCATGTTTTCCGACAATTTGTAATTGCCCTGTCTTTTTTTCCCTCTGGAACCTTGAAAAAAGTTGTCCCTGCAGGTCTGCCGGTTGTGGAGGGGCGCTTGCTTTCCCACCCGTGTGAGTGGCGCAGTCGTGCCCGCATTCCCTCCTGTGCTCCTGAGGTCCCCGGGTCACCCGTGGGCCACGAGAGGGAGGGTGATGCCCGCACACCTGGCAGAGCACTCAAGGCTGCTGCCAGAGCCCTGGGGCTGTGGTGGGGCGGGCGGGCAGGGTGTGTGTGGGGCGGGGTGACCTGCCCGCCCCGGATCCAACCCGATTTCTCCCGCAGGCACAGGCAGAGATGCGGCTACTCCTGCTCCTGCCCCTCCTGGTGGTCTGGGCGCCCGGGTCCTCGGTGAGTGCAGCCAGCTCTCAGTGGGGGAGGCGGGGTGGAGCCTGGTGCCTGCTGCCTCCCGGAGCCGGGGTGGTGGGTAAGAGGAGAGCAGCGCTGCTCCCAGCTCCTTCAGAAGCCTTGGGACCTTGGAGCGTTCTGGCCAGGGTGTCCAGAACTGCGTGCCTTGCTGCAGGGCGCCCCCTTCAGAGGGTGGTGGGCACCCCTCCTTTGGGCCTTGGCTAATGCCGACAAACACCCCACTCCTGGCGGCCTTCCAAGGAGACAGGTGGGGGCGGCACTGGGTCAGCCAGGGTCCATCCCACCGGACACTGCCAGGACCCAGACATTGGGGTGTTTGGACCTGGAGGGTTAGGGTACCTGTCACCTGCTTTCCCCTGGGGTCAGCATCCAAGCAGGACTGTCCAGGGAACCTTCTGAGATGATGGAAATCACACCAGGTGTATTGCTGCTGCCCAGTAGGCAGCCACTAGGTCCACTGTGGCTATCAAGTGCTTAAAATGAGGCCAGTGCAACCGAGGAATTTAAAAATTTGATTTGGTTTTCATTAACAAATAGTCACATGTGGCTATTGACTATGATATTTTACAAATTTATATTACACCCTTATATTCTAGAAGGGGAAAAAATGGTTCCAGAACAAGAAAAGTTCTGGGAAGGAACTCTTCACAGAAGTTGTGTATGGGAAAGCGTCCAGAGAAACCTGCAAGAGATGACAAATCCTGAAGCTCAAAGTAGCAAGAGCTGGCACCACCTGAGGCCTAGCAGATACAGGGAACCAACTGGCAGTAGGGCAGCTGTTTCCTTAGTAGGGGTCTGATGGACACCTGGAGGGCACACTTGGGTCCCAAGGCTGTGCAGGGAGTGTCCTAGGCTGCAGGATCTGCCCAGCTGGGTGCTGCTGGGCAAGAGGGAGGGCACAGAGGCAGCTGGGTCTCAGGCTGCCCCTGGAGAGCTCTCCCTGAGGTCATGGCCTGCCCACCCTCTGTGAGGCATGCACCAGTGACAGAGAAAGGACCGCAGTGGTGTGCTACCTTGGGGAGGTCAGGGAGCAATGCCACCTCTGTGGAAATCAGCCGGAGCGGAGAAGAGCAGGCAGGGGTAGGTCTTAACAAGGGGCACGGGGCAGTGAGTGGCAGGCGGGCACAACCACCCTCCCTCATGGACTGTCCATGCCTGTGAGCTTCCTACCTCTGCTCCACCGCAGCCTTCTCCCTGGGTGCCACCCTCTGAGCTCCTTCCCTATGTGCTGGTGTCCTGGGCTCTGTGGGGGAGGGCGTGGTGACGGCATCGAGACCCCATGATGAAATCCAGAGCCCCCCAACACAATTGCATTCTCTGAGCTATAGATTCCTCTAATGTGGGAGTTTTGATACCCGCTTCAATGCTGTTGCACAGAGGAAATTAATCAAGGCTTACAAAGTGCTCTGAGCTAGCTACTCTGAGAGGCTGAGGCAGGAGGATGGCAAGTTCAACCGAAGACTGGGCAACTTTGTCAGACCTCATCTCAAGATAAAAAATAAAAATGGCTGGAGGTTTAGCCCAGTGCAAAGGCCCTGGGTTCACTCCTCAGTACTGCCCCCCTCCTGTAAGCACCCTGAACTGTGTTGGGTCCCCTTCTCCCTTAGGCGCAGCCAAGACCCAAGTAGCCTTTTCCTGCCTTCTAATCCCTTCCAGGGTGGCTGAGACACCCGCTCCCCTTCCCTGCATGGTGGAAGGGGTGTGACCCCTTCCTCAGCTCAGCCGCCTCCTTCCTGGTCCTAGCTGGGGTCCACAGAGTGGCCCCTGCGTGCCTTCTGGGGCTCTCTGTGGGTGCTGACCAGAGGAGCGGACTATTGGAGGCGCTGTGCTGTGAGGCCTCAGCCCTGTCTTCCTGTCCCCCACACAGTGGGCAGCCGATCCCCTGGAAGCAGTGGAAAGGGGGCTTCTGGGGACGGGAAGGGACAGGCTGGGCAAGGCAGGGGTGCTGCAGCTCCCAGCTTCACACCACCCCGCACAGGGGTTTATGTCATTACAGGGAACAAAACGTCCCCGTGCTGCTAGCGACTGGACGTGTTTCCTTTGGTGCAGATGCAGGGTAGAGAGGCACACAGAGCAGGCTCAGGGCGGTGCTGTCCAGGGCTCTGCGATGCTGGCCTCACAACGCTTCCTGTAGCCTGGTGCAAGGGCAGGAGGATGCTGGGGCCTCAGACCCAGACAGACCCATATCCAGGCCAGAACCCCACCTCTTCCTGCTGCGGCGAGGCGGTTCCAGGGCAGGGCAGCCACTGTGTGGGCCACCGGCACCGCCTGCCGGGAGCCCCTGCTTTAGACTAGCAGAGATTGTTGCCCGACACTTTATTTCCCTCTCACTGATGAGAACTTAGTGACAGTGATACAGTTGGTTGCAGGAAGCTGAGTCAAGTTTTGAGAGATGATGATGAAGAGGGGGTAACATTGGAGTAGCCCCGAGTCTCTGGCACAGATCAGCAGGAGTAGACCAGTGCCCCCTTCTCCCATATTGGATGAGACTAAGTTGCTAGTGTAATAGGCCAGAGTGAGCCCCTGCCCCACCTTGGCAGCCTCCTGTCATCATAGCAACACCCGGGCACTCAGGAGGCACCCCTGATGGTGGTTGTTTTGCCAGATGAGAAAATCACAGCTGAGCAGGGTTAGGTGACTGGCCAAAAGTCACGCAGCTGTGTGTCCTGACTTCCGCTGCTTCCCTTTTCTTTTAGGGTCTCCTCCCCTCCTTTAGCATTGACCACAACCGCCTGGGCTCTGGGTGTAGAGCCTCTCCCAGGGGCTCCTGTAACTTCAAATCTTTCTGGCTGCTTCTCGCCTTTTACGCCCTAGGCTCGGCTGCCAGCTCCCCATGGTGAAAGCTGGCTAAAATTATGTGAATGACCATCTTGGGGTGCCTAGTGGAGTTGTGGGGTCCTGAAAAGGTAGCTCTGGAAGGGAGATTCCCAGGTCCCTTGAACTGAGGAGGGTGTGTTTGTCAGCAGAGGCCCCCGGTGGGGGTTCTGGGCTCAATTCCTGATGCATCTTCGGCAGGCTCCTGAGGCCCGGCAGCAGAGTGACACCTGGGGCCCCTGGGGTGAGTGGAGCCCCTGCAGCCGGACCTGCGGAGGGGGTATCAGCTTCCGGGAGCGGCCCTGCTATTCCCAGAGGTAGGGTGGAAAGAAGGGGCTGGTGGGTTAAAAAGAGGTGGGTGCAAGGTAGGCCAGCTGCTGGGCCACTGGCCACCAAGTGACACGCTCTGGAAGCAGCATCAGTAGAGTGTAGGAAAGCAACTCATGTATCACACACACCTGAGCTCGGCCTTGACAGGGAGCAGCAGGAGCCCGGGTTCGTCCTGCACCTGAATCTGGTTCCTGACACGGGGCAGGGGCGGTGGAGTAAATGATCTGCAGCTGTCCCTAACTCGTGTGGCTTCTTTGCCCTCGGCCGCTTTAAGTGTAGATGTTCCCCACTTCAGGTGACTTGTTAAGTATGCACCCAAGCTCTGCACCTGTGAGCTTCTGCAGAGGGGTGGGGTACAAAGGAAGGGTAATGAGGCTCATTGCTCCAAGAGGAGGAGGAAGAGAGGAGAAGCGAGGAGGGCTTGTTCTAAGTGCCCTGCACTTACTTGCTGCTTACACCGCAGACCAACCGTACAGGCGGGTGTGGATCACCTCTCATCCCCAAGGGCAGAATCGGGTCTTCTCGGGGAGATCACTTTCAGAGGCCAAGGGGCCCTGAGTTAAGCAGACATCAGGGTGGTCAGGTGCTGAGCGGCTTCTCCCGAGTAGAAACAGGGCTGCTAACATCCACCTACAGGGATGCACATGAGTGCACCCCTTTTTCCCCTTGCCCACCTGGGACCCCCACCGAAGCTGGGGGGCCCGAAGCAGAGGCCGGGGATGCAGGGTCTTCCGTTCCTCTCGCCCTGCAGGAAGGATGGAGGCCCCAGCTGCGTGGGCCCCGCCCGGAGCCACCGCATTTGCCGCACAGAGGTGAGGCTACGCAGCCGGTGACCACCCTTGAGCTGGGAGGGTGGGGTGCCGAGGCAGAGACCCCCAACCTCCCTGGGGGCCCTCGCTGGGGACCCACTTTCCTGCCGTCCCCGCAGAGCTGTCCAGAGGGTGCGCGGGACTTCAGGGCCGAGCAGTGTGCTGAGCTGGACGGCGCCTTGTTCCACGGCCGTCGGTATCGGTGGCTGCCCTACTACGGCGGTGAGCGCCAGGGACAGATGTGTGATCAGCGCCTTGGGTGGGGGGGCTCATGCCTGTCACGCTGTAACAGCGGCCATGCTGAGGTCTTCAGGGCCTTGCCCCTGTGGATGAATTTTCTCAAACCTCTGGCCCTCTGTGCTATTTTCAGCCCAGGTTTTGTTCTGCCTGCACTCAGAAGGGTCCTTCCTTGAACAGGGACCAGGAGGGAGCCAAGGGTGGGGTTGGCACGCCTGGAACAAACTGTAGGAGGGGCCTGGATGTGGGCAGGCCTGGTGAGATCCATACACCCAGCTCTGGGGTCAGGGAAAAGCGGAGTTTGTCCCCTATTCTGGGGTTTCTTTGACTTGGTCCCCAGAGATACAACGCTCTTGTGAACAGTGTCCCTTCTCCCTGATATGGGATGGGGTTCTGTGCCACCTGATGAGGACAGCTGCTGCAAGGGCCTTTTCTCCCGCCACGAATGTGCTTCTGGCCCCTGCACCCCCGCTGCTGGGCTAGGCCTTGGTCCCTGGCTTCAGTTTCTCCTCCTTGCCCACCCCAGCCCCAAACAAGTGCGAGCTGAACTGCATCCCTGAAGGGGAGAACTTTTACTACAAGCACCGGGAGGCTGTGCTGGACGGGACACCCTGTGACCCCAGCAGACGGGACGTCTGTGTGGATGGCCACTGCCGGGTGAGTGACGTCCTTCCCCTGCTCTGGGCAGGAGTCGCCTCAAGTTACCAGGCGCCCAGCCTAGCTCCTAGGATGCTGTGACAGCTGCCCGCTGACGCCCTCTGAGGCCCTCACTCTGCCCGTACAAGAAACTGTGTGGGTGGCATATTGTTGGAACCTAACTAAAACTGACTGCAGCAGAAACCAGACATTAAAAGAAGGCTCCCGGTGCTTGGACGATGCTGCTAGAAACTTCTCTCTCTTTGCCTCTTGCTTTACTCCCTTTTGTTTAGCGCCAGGCTTGGGCAGGCTCTTACTATGAGGTGTGGCGAGATGGCAACTTCGGGCCTCTGCTGTAGCAGCCTGACAAGGCCCAGGGTGAGGGCTGGCTTCACCTGATTTGTGCTCTGAGGAAAGAGAATAAAATACCCGCTGATGGTTCCAAACTCACCTTTGGGGAGGTGTCCCCTAAGCTCTGAGCGGGGAGAAGGGGCCTCTGGGGAGGAGTATGTGCTTACCAGAGAAGGGGATGTGGGTGCCACACAGACCCAAGTTTTGCTGAGCCGCCCAGCTTGCTGCTGAGTAACCCTGGTATCCCTCCTGCCTGGACCCGAGTGTGCTGGGTCCTTGGCACCCTGCTGCTGTGTCCCATCATCTTCCACCTCCCTGGCAGGTTGTCGGCTGTGACCATGAGCTGGACTCATCCAAGGAGGAGGACAAGTGTCTGCAGTGTGGAGGCGACGGCACAACCTGCTACCCTGTCACAGGCACCTTTGCTGCCAATGACCTCAGTAGAGGTGGGGGTCCCTGCCAGGACCTGAAGCCTGCCTCAAGCGAACCTGTCTCCTCTGGCCAAGGCTCAAGGCTGAGTGGCCCGAGTGGCCCCTGGGGGTGGCATCTTTGGACCACAGGGTGGAGACTGCCCTTTGCACAGGAGCCCCGTGTGCCTTTGTCAGTCAGGACCTGGCCCGGTCTGAGTTCACACTGGCGCCAGCTGGCTATTCCGCCTCAAACCTCCCCCCTGGTCCCCATCCTGATCCTGCTTCCTCCCAGCCTGCTCTGGGTGCCCTGAGGCTTTCCGCCCTTCAGGCCTTTGCAGAGCTGTTTGGTCTGCCAGGGCCGCTGATCCCGAAGCAGCCCAGCCCTGCTACCAGTCTCCTACCCATCCCCCTTCTGCGCTGCCTGGCACTTAGAGTCCTCAGGGTCAGCTCCTTCCAGTGCTGAATGGTGCTGGGTGAGGGCAGCTTGGTCACACACCCCCAACCTGAGTCTCTGACCTCATCAGGCTACAACCGGATCTTCATCATTCCCGCCGGTGCGACCAGCATCCGCATCGAGGAGGCCACGGCCAGCAGGAACTTCCTGGGTAAGGCTGCAGTCTGGGTATGGGGTGAGTTTGGGTTGCCTGGGGTGCACCCTCTCAACCCCACCGTTGTCCTGCACAGCCGTGAGGAGCGTCCGTGGGGAGTATTACCTCAATGGGCACTGGGCCATCTCAGAGGCCAAGGCCCTGCCGGTGGCCAGCACCATCCTGCACTACGAACGGGGTTCCGAGGGCGACCTGGCCCCTGAGCGGCTCCAGGCCCGCGGCCCCACCTCAGAGCCCCTGATTATTGAGGTGAGAAGGTAGTGGGAAGCTGGGTGCCCCTGAGAAGTCACCAAGCCCCGTACCTAGGTGGCCGGGGGCTGTGGGTAAGGCTGACCTCAGAGGGCCCCTTGCGGCAGCTCATCAGCCAGGAGGCCAACCCCGGAGTGCACTACGAGTACTACCTGCCCCTGCGCAGCCCTGAGTCCAGCCAAGGCTTCAGCTGGAGCCACACCTCGTGGGGCGACTGCAGTGCGGAGTGCGGTGGAGGTGAGACCCTGGGGGTGGCACGATCAGGTGCGGGGAAGGCACAGCTCTCTCAAGGCTGTGATACCAGGGACAGTGGGCAAGTAGGTGAGAAATCTGTCATCGGGCCACATGGTGGGAGGCTGGGGGCATGGGGACCCCATGGAGGACCCAGCCTAAGCTGAGAGGGAGGGTGTCCCAGCATGAGTGGTGTCCCCCGGCTGATAGCACTCCAGTGGGAGTGGAGGCCAAGCCTGGAGCTGGTGACCGGGGTCAGACAGGGTTCTGTCACGCGTAGTGGAAATGCTCCAAGGCTCAGTTTCATCACCTGGCAATGGGATGATGGTGGCATCTACCTCAGAGGGTCATCTGAGACTTAGCCAGGGTGATGTTGGGCCGAGTCCAGAACAGCACCTGACCTAGAGTGTGCATTTGGAGAGGGTTGACTGACCAGCTGCCCTGTGGCCCGGCCTTTGCACAGGCCACCAGTCCCGCCTGGTGTTCTGCACCAGCGACAAGGAGGTCTACCCCTCCCACATGTGCCAGCGCCATCCTCGGCCAGCTGACCACCGCTCCTGCAACTCCCACCCTTGCCCGCAGACCAAGCGGTGAGGCCCTCGCCAGCCCCTTCCACCTGTGGTGGGAGGGGCAGGGTTGGGGTGGGAGGGGGGAGGGGGGCTTGAAGCCGCTTTAGGAGGAGTATAGTGAGGAGCTTGGGGTACCAGGCTCCCCAACAGCTATGGCTAGGGTGGGTGGGTGGCAGCTGTCACTGAGGGAGGCAGCAAAGGGCCTGAAGCACGAGGCCT